GTTGGGGCAAGAGGTTTGCTGCAAGTTTGAGGCCAGCCTGAACTGCATTGTAAGACCCTGGCTCAAAAAACTAAGAAAATAAAATTTAAAAAATAGTTTTTAGAAAGTTTACTAAACAATTCCAAACCCCATAAGAAGCAGTTTGATTTCTAGAGTTTCCACATCATAATATTCAAAATATCCAGTTTTTTACAGTAATTTACAAGGCATACAAGGAAACAGAAATGAGTAGCTCATTCATTGGGAAAAGCAGGACAGAAACCAAGCCTGAGAGTACAGACATTGGGCCTATGCTGGTCTTAAGCATGGTCAAAGAGCTAAAGGAAACCATGGACAAAGAAGACAAGGAAATGAGTAGCGCAGTGTATGAACACGTAGATAAAATACCAGTAGAGAGGAAGTATGAAAAGAAGCCTTTAGAATGCTGTACCAAGGCAGGAGGATAGCTGCAAGTTCGAGGCCAGCCTGGGCTACATAGTGAATTTAAGGCCAACCTGCACTCCAAAGCCAGACCCCTATCTCAGAAAAACAAAAATTTTTTTTTTAATTTTTAACTGCTGTACTTAAAGATTGCAACAGCAGAAATGAAAAATATGCTAGAAGAATTCAGCAGCAGATTTGAGCAGGCAAAAGAATCGAGATCAGTTGAATTGAGGTCAGTTGAAATTATCCAGTTGGAGAAAAAGAAAGGAAAAAGAATAAAGGGAAGTGAACTGAGCCTAAGAAGCCTGTGGAACACCATCCAGTGTGTCAGTATTTGAATTAAGGGGGTACAGAAAGAACAGAATGAAAGGAGCAGAAGATATTTGAAGAAATAATACCTAAAACTTCCCAAATTTATTAAGGATGAATCTGTACAACTCAAAGAAAAAAATTCAAAGAAATGTTCACCAAGACACATCTGAATCAAACTATTAAAAGACAAAGGCAAATAGAGAAAATCTTGACTACGGCAAAAGAGAACAACCCAATTGAAAAATACAGGATTTCATGGGGCCCGGGATTTATCTCAGGGGCACCATGCCTGCCTCAAAAGCGCAAGGTCCTGAGTTCAATCCCAGTACCATAAAAAATAAATTATTTAAATTAGAGTTGATGTTTCTCCAAGAAAATAAACAGCTGGTCAGCATTCGCATGCTAGCATGGCCAGCCTCATTAGTCATGAGGGAAATGCAAGTCAAAGCCACTCAGATGCCCCTTCATACCTGTTAAGATGGCTTTAATCAAAACATTGAAAAATAACAAGTATTCACAGAGATAGCAGAAATTAGAAGCCTTGCGCATCGCAAGGAGCAGTGTGAAACTGCAGCTGCTGTGGTAAACAGTTTGGTACTTCTGCATTCAGCTAAACGTAGAATAACTGTATGACCCAGCCATTCCACACTTAAGTACACACCCAAAAGCATTAAAACAAGTATTCAGACAAAAACTTGTACACAAACGCTCACTGCAGCACATGAAGTAAGAGTCAATAGGTGGAAATAACCCAGATGGCCACGAAGTCAGAATGGACAACCAAATGTGGTCTGATGGAGAGGAATAAAGTACTGATGGGTGCTGCACATGGAAGAACACCGAAAACATGGTGAAAGAAGGCAGATATGATAGGCCACACCTTGTATGACTGCCATTTACAGATGGTCCCCAACTTCAATAATTTTTCTTTATTTTTCTTCATTATCATGGACTTCACTGAAAATGGAGAAGCATCTTTTTTTTTGGTACCGGGGATCAAACTCGGGTCCTTGCGCTTATGGGGCAGGCGGGGGAACCACTGAGCTAAATCCTCAGCCCAAGAAGCATCTTGACTTAGGACAGTTCAGCTTACCAGTGATGGGTTTTTATGATGAGTTTATCAGGATATTAAATGTATTTTTGGGACTGGAAATTTAGCTCAGTGGTTCTGCCGCCTGCCTCGAAAGTGCAAGGACCAGAGTTCGATCCCCACTACCAAAAAAAAAAGGAAACATTTATCAGGCCGGGGATTTAGCTCAGTGGTTCCGGTGCCTGCTTCGCAAGCGCAAGGTCCTGAGTTCGATCCCTGGTACCAAAACCAAAGCAAATAAACAAATGTATTTTTGACTTAGGGTTTATTGGTGTGTAACCCCATTACAAGTCAGGGCACATCTATATATGAAATATCCATAGATAGGAGTATTTGCCTGTCACAGAATAGGCAAACCCAGAGACAGAAAATACGTTAGTGGTTTCAGGAAGAGAGGAATGACTGCTTAGTATATGTGCTGCCAAAGCAAGCACAGGAATGACTGCTTAGTCATACGATTTTCTTTGGGGGTGGGGATGATAAAATATTTTCCAGAGCTTGGCCATAAGTTATAATTACTGTGAATATGCTAAATACTTCTGAGTGGTACACTTAAATGATTTAAATGAGCAGGTTTTTGTTTTGTTGAGATGGGGTCTCGCTGTGAAGTTCAAGCTGGCCTCAAACTCAAGAGGATCCTCTTGCCTCATTCTCCCGAGTGCTGAGATTATAGGTGTGCACACAACCAGCCCAAATGGTGGATTTTATGTGCATTTTACCTACACATACTCAAAAGAGGGCCGTAAGATTTTGAATACCATATGCTATAGGATCTGCAGATAGTGCCCAAAGAGGAGTGTTCCCGCTGAACTTGGACAGCAGTGAGAAGTAAGGCGGGACTCATGGGATGGTGGCTGGTTACGAAGAGAAGGGGCTTCCTGTTTGACCACCAGGTCAGCAGACAGCCACAGCTTCGGCTACTCTTCCTGTGCTGCCCCTAGGAAGGCATCCTGTGGGGCTGGCTGTTTCCTGCCCTGCTCATAATCCACTTCCCAAACTGTCCACCCAACCCGAAAGAACCAACTCTGGCTTCTGTGAAATGTCATTTTCACTTCTGTGCTACCAAGTAGTGGTCACCAGTCGCGTAGTCGTGATCCTTTTTTGGTCCAGGCCGATGCTGGCTCCTCCTACTACTGTTCTTAGGAATGCAGAAGCAAAGGACATGGCTCGCTCTTCATGCATTATTGAACAGCATGAACATGCATTATTTGAACATTATAATAATGTTGAATTTGTCCCCCCATTTTTCATTTGTCCACCTGTCCATTTAAGGGATAGCTTTTCCTCCCCCACCACACCCTTTATTATTTCATTTTGTGATAGGCAGCTTGGTGGAACAAAGCAAGCAAATACACCTGGTTTCTGTACTTTCAGGAGGGGACTATGTAGCCTCAATTCTTTTCAGCCTCTCCTCTCTCACTGAGCCTGAGCAGCTCCCCGAGGAAAAATCTGCCAGCCCCGACAGCCAGCATGCAACGGCTGAAAGCCAGGCCCGAGGGAGAAAATGGGTGCTGTAGAAAATTGCACTTGTGTTTTACACACAGGTTTTTACATCAGAAACGTTTTCATCAGAACCTTGAGTCTTAAAGTGGAGCACTGTGAAGTGTCTTTCCAATTGCTGAGTAACTAAAGTCATGAATGCAGGTGCAATACCAGGTTGACAGTAGGTTTGCTTTAAAATTTGTCTTCCTAATGATGCCTCCTATTCAATGAAACTTAGAAGTCATTTGTTCCTCTGTAACTTGAACTGAGTGTAAATTCTTTTCAAGCCAAAGTTCTGCTATTCTTTCATTTTGGCCCTCTCATAAATTAGACCTAAATAAACAGTAGCCAGTTTCCAAATGCATTTGGCTTCCCCAGAGCACACTGCAGCTGTCTCACGTAGCCGCAGTTCCAGGCCCTGGCCCACCTGATGCACCTCTAATCTGGAGCAGTTCTTCACGCACCCTGTGGATTCCTGCTGGAGGAATTAGACGCACTCAGATGGGGGTGAGTCCCACATGGGGCTGTCCATCCCAGGCCATGTGCTCTCCCTGGTCTCGTGGTGTACCTCTGGACCCACTCCTGTTGCTCCCCACTTACTCAGGCCAGGCAGGTGCAGCACATGGCCCTGTCCTCTGCCTTCAAGGGAGACAGACACAGGCAGAGTCTTGGGCCAAGGGCAAAGTGGCATTTTATAGTTGAGATCAGAGCACTGTGGAAGTAATTAGGGCAACAGGCAGTTCCCATTGAAGTTTTGTTTTGTTTTGGGTACTGGGGATTGAACCCAGGGCCTTCATACTAAGCTATGTCTCCAGCCCTGTTTTTATTTTGAGACAGGCCCTTGATAAGTTGCCCAGGCTGAGTTGGAACTTGCAGTTCTCCTGCCTCAGCCTCTCAGATTACAGGCCTGTGCCACCATACCTGGTTAGTTTGTCTCTTGACTGGTCTGCCCTCCATTTCAGTCCAGATGACTGTTTAACAGGAAGCCTCCCTACCTACACACTTTCCCTCAACCAGGATTGGATCGTGTACATGCCATGTGCTACAAAGGAGTCTGGGAGCATGAGGCTCTAACGTGGGAGACTGGCTTTCCCAGCCTGGAAGTTGGACTGGCTATTGGATCCCCTCCTGTCCCACCCCCAGCCAAGTTTTCAAAACCCCCAAGGTGTGTAGCTAAGTTTTGGGCTTACTGGTACTGTTAGCCAGCTTTGAATATATAAAACACATGATTGAGGAAGACCAAGGTTTTTTTCACCATTTTAAATCTTTGGAATTCCTATAATAAACAGAAATCATTTTTCTAAATGTGAGGTGCAGGCACTGTGCTGGGGGCTGTATATCTTTTTCATAACCCCAAAACACCATGAGAAGGTTGTACTTTACTAATTTAAAAGTGAGAAACTGAGTCTCCATGTAATTGGTAACTTTACCCAAAGTCATAAAATTGATAAATTTTGAACTGTTCTCAGATCCAAAATGTAGGTTTTCACTTTTTTTTTTTTTTTTGAGACAGAGTCTCACGTTCAGTAGCCCAGGCTGTCCTTGAACCTGAAGCTATCCTCCTGCCTCAGCCTCCTGAGTGCTAAGATTAAAGGTGTGCACCACCATGCCCAGCTGTCATATTAATGGCTATAATATTTTTTCTTTCCTCTTCATCTTCCCTGCCAGCTCCAATCATGTCTTCTTTTTCCAGTGAAGAAAAAATGACTGCTGCCCGCATTAGGAAATGCCACAAATGTGGGACTGGCCTCATCAAATCTGAAGGCTGCAACCGCATGTCTTGCCGCTGCGGTGCCCAGATGTGCTACCTCTGTCGAGTGTCTATAAACGGGTATGACCATTTCTGCCAGCATCCCCGCTCACCAGGAGCCCCTTGCCAGGAGTGTTCGAGATGCTCCCTCTGGACTGACCCCACTGTGAGTAGATGCATGGCTGCCCGTGTCGGTGTGGGGGAAAATAGCCTTACATTCCTGTGATTAAAAAAGATTTTCTGTATGCATGGCAAATTCTGACCCATGAAATGATACAGGAAGTTACATAGACCAATAACCATGGAAAAATTTGAGAAAGCAATCAAAACTACTCATCAGAGGGGTTGGGCTCTGGCTTAGTGGTAGATGGCTGGCCTAGCATGCATGAGGCCCTGGGTTCCATCCCCAGCACCATAAAACACACAAACAGAAGCTGCTCATCAGAGAGTGAGCAGGAATGGCAGCGCATACTATAGTCCCAGCTACTTGGGGGGCTGAGGTAGGAAAAGCACTTGTGCCCAGGAGTTCAAGACCCCAACTCAAAAAAGGGTATCATCTTTGGTTTTATGGACAAATTCTCTCAGTCCTTTAGGGAACAAACTTTTCCCTGTTTCAGCTGAAATATTCCAGAGCATAAAGAAGTGAGAGTTGCCCAGTATGTGCTTATACCAAACCTGACCGAGCCCTGACAAAGAAAACTGGTTATCCTATAAATCTCACATATACGAGTTTTTAATTTCTTGAATAAATATTAGCAAATAGGTTGACCAAGTAAATTTGTTCCAGAAATCCAAGGATTGTTTTGGTTTCATTTGGTTTTGTTTGGTTTTGGTTTTTTGAGACAGGGTCTTGCTGTTAGTTCAGGCTGGCTTTGAACTCAAGGCAGTCCTCCTGCCTCAGCCTCCCAAGTGCTGGGATTACAGGCATCAGCCACCATGATGGGCTTGCAGGGATGGTTTTGTATTGACTCTATTAATATAATTCACCATGATATCTTTACATGGTAAAAAGGCATTTAATAAAACACTTGTTCTTCATGTAAGCTTTTAAAACAACATTAGAAGTGTACTTCCTGAATATGATTTTTTGAAATCCTGGTATTTCAAAATAGCATGTATTTAACAGTGAGATACATAGGAGCATTCCCACAAGGTCAAGTGTGATACGCTCACTGCTGTGTTCTAGAACTGCTCATCAGTACTGGAGGACAGAGCCCATGCTACCTGGCACCCACTTGTATGTTTTTAAAAAATTACCACTTTAAACTGGGAAAAGACAAACTGGAAAGCTTTTAGAAACAGTAGATAAGGACTGGGGATGTAGCTCAGCGGCACCATACCTGCCTGGCAAGCATAAGGTCCTGAGTATGATCCCTGGTACGGGGGGGGCCGGGGGCGGCAGTAGATAGATGAATAGATATAAATATCCCAAATACCACCCAGTGTGGTGGTGCATGCCTGTGATCCCAGCACTTGGGTGGCTGAGGCAGGAAGATTGAAGTTCAAGGCCTACCTAGGCTATACAGAGAGGGGTATTTGGTTTTGGTTTTGATTTGGGGGGTTTTTTTTGTTTGTTTGTTTTGGTTTTGGTACCGGGGATTGAACTGAGGTCCTTGAGCTTGCTCAGGAGACGGCAAAACCACTGAGCTAAATCTCCGGCCCAGATTTTGGTTTTTTTGAGACAGGGTCTCACTGGATAGCCCAGGCTGGCCTCAAACTCACAGCAGTCCTTGCGTCAGCCTCCCGAGTGCTGGGATTATAGGCGTGTGCTACACCCAGCTATACAGTGAATTTAATACCAGCCTCAACTACGTAGCAAGACCCTATCTAAAAAAAAATCCTGAATACCTTTTGCAGTAACGATACAGAGCATACAGTACCATAGAAATAAACTTGAAGTGGAAATATGAAGAAAGCTATAGAAGTGTATTGAAGGAAATAAAGAGGCTTTAACTTGTAGAGAGATGTGCTTTGATCTTATTTTTGGTGTTTGTGGTACTGGAGATAGAATGTAAGGGCATTGTACCACTGAGCTACATCCCCTGCCCTTTTTGTTTTTAATTTCATACAATCTCACTAAGTCTCCCAGGCTAGGCTCAAATTTATGATCCTCTCACCTGAGCCTTCCAAGTAGCTGGGATTAGAAAGGTACACTTCTTCACCTTACTTTAAATACATTTTAGGGCTGGGGATTTAGTGCAGTGGTACCACGCCTGCCTGGCAAGCACAAGGTCCTGAGTTTGATCCCCGGTACCAGAAAAAAAAAATTAAATATATTTTAATACTTAAAAAGTATCAGTTTTTTAAAATTATTTTTAAACTAAAAAGTCCAGTCCCAAGCTGATCTGTAAGGATAGCAGTATGGTAATGTGCAGACTTGTTCTCCCAATAGGTGATTCCTTGAGAGTGATTTCTCTGCTGACTCACAGCAAGTATGCCAAGGCCCATGGATTGAGCCTGGTGGCAGGGGCTCCCGCTCGGCTTTCCCTGAGACTCATACAGGAACAGGCAAATAGATCAGAGGGACAGATAGCAAGCAGAAACAGACACGTAAGGACTCGATGTGTGGTTCAGTACCATGTCACATCACTGAGAAATGACAGGCACATTCAGTTACCATTGTGGATCAGGCACTGGTGCCAAAAGTGAGCAGAGTGGAAAGCCCCTGTCCTCATGGCGTGTGCAGGCTGACCCAGTGTGAACAGGGGCCCTGGGCATGCTTCGGACTGTTGGGGAATAACTGTGTGCAGCTGGAGGAGACGGCCACTGTGGATGGACTGATGGCATGGGCAGGCACCTGGGCAGGGGCAGCATTCACAGTGGAACCTGGAAGAGGAGCTGCAAGGCCAAGCTGAGCAAATCAAACAAATTGGGCCCATTTAGGGGCCAGAAAGAAGGGAGGTGTGGCTCACAGGTACTCAGCTGTCAGGGTACCTGGGGCATCCTGGAGCCTTGTCGTTGGTATAAGTGCAGAGGGAGCCACCGCAGGGTGTCACAGGGGATTACAGTTTGAAGGGTTACACTGGTTGCTTTACAGAGAGGGGGACGTTCAGTAGTGACTATGAGCACATGGCTAACCACTGGGAAATACCTAGAGAAAATGGAGGAGGTGACTTTACCCATGGACTAGGAAAGGTTCTTAGCATTGCATCAAGGCCAGACTAAGAAAATGTAAATTCTTGACAAAAGACACCATAAACAAAGATTAAGGTAAATGAGAAACTGAGTTAAATACTTAGAACACAAGATTAAGAGATTTTTTTTCTTTTGGTGGTGATGGTACTGGGATCTAACCCAGGAGTACTGTACCACTGATCTAGATCACCCAGCCTTTTCGTGTGTGTGATAGGGTCTCAAGTTGCCGATGCTAGCCTGAGTACCTGGGATAACAACAGGAATAAGGACCGTAGGAGCCAGCAGAGTGTGGCAGGGACAGTGGCACCAAGAGAGGATGTGGTCCCATCACAGGGATGGCTGCTCTGGGTGAGACCATTGCCATAGCTTCTGGTCCCCCAAAGGCTGGACATCTGTGTTTTAATGTGAACTACCTGGTCTTTAACAGCCATTTATTCAAATATCTTGAAAGCACTATTCAAGCCAGCACTTTCTAAGCCAAAGAAAAGGTGGGGGAATCTTCTGTGAGCCTAGCAGGAGAAGGTGCCAGGGTCACAGGCTGGCCACCTGTAAGTCATAGCAGACTGGAGGCAGACCTCAGCCTGTGTGAAAACAGCATGTTGTCATCAGAGCCACATTTGGTGTAGGCAGCAGTGAGCCTCCCTCGAAGCCATGCCAGGAATGTTCTTGTCCCCATGTAGCCCCATCCTGACAGTGAACAGGCTCCTGGGAAATCACTCTGAGACCCAGGAGACCCTCGGCAAGCTTGCCCTCATGTTACTGAGGACATATGTGGAAGAAAGGGAGGGTTTTGTACACAGGAAGACAAGTCCTCTTCTGTGGCTAGCGAGAAGGAGGCACACCCCACACTGGGCAGTCCATATCCAGTGGCCCTTTGTAAAGAGCCTGGTGTCCCCAGGACCGCATGAGGAGCAGGGTCCTCAGTCTGCAGCTGGAGCTCCCAGGTCTTTTGGGGCTATATTTCTTCTCTAGAAACAAAGCACATTGGCACGTGAGGGGGTTGCTCAGCAGCCTGCTCTCTGTGCTGCTTCCCTCACCACTCCCTCCTCACCTGTTTCTTCTCTCCCCCTCCAAGGAATGGACTCTAAAGGTTTCTCAGGCACTGCTGCCCTGTCTAGTGCAATAGTGTGCAACTGTCCAGTTTTCTCATTGAATTTTTACCTGCTAGCCCAGGAAGGTTCTGTAGTTGCTCAAATAAAGTTTGAAAGGAAGGTCAGGCAAATACAAATCCATCCAATTTTCTCTGGTCACCATAGCCAGAGATTTTGTTCCATTTGTCCCGTTCACATCAAAACAGGGATCAGCCCGGTTTTCTTGATTTCTCACCAGGAGACCGATTGAATTCCACCCCAGCATCTGCTGGGGCTTCTGAGAACACAAAGCCCTTCAGAAGGGCAGTGGAACAAAGCGCACACTGTCCTGCGCCTGTTCTCTGGCCTCATTAACGAGCAGGGCCAAGAAGAATCTCTCAGTGTCAGCAAGGGAGTTGTCCCTTCGCAGTTTGCAGGGATGTTTGGTTTTCAGCCTGAATGACTGGTGATCGCTTGGGAACCTGAACTGACTGTGTACCAGGGGCACACATGGCAAATATGTAGTGACTTTCTCTGTTCACTGCCAAATACAAGCCAACAGCAAGTGTCTTACCAAACAGGCCGTCTTCTGTAGGAAGGCACAGAACATGGCAGAGCATGGTTGGGAGGGTGCAGTGCCGTCTCAGCCCAGAAAGGAACAGTCCTCCCCACAGTAGGGGAAGGGTTGCCCCATGCCATCACTGAGCCCAGTGTCCTGACTTTCCTTGTCTACACATGGCCACATGAGTGGCAGCTAAGGGGCTGAGGAGCTGTGTCTGTCCCTCACTGTAGGAGCCACTTCTGGCATCTAGATTCAGGGAGTGCAGCAGGATTCATGGCAGTATATTCTCCAAGTACAAAACACAGTCGGCATTTTTCCTGGGTTTTGGCTACAAGAAACCATGGAAAATTGTTTTCTACAACCACTTTGTTTTTGGGTGTAGGATTTTAATGTCTGTTC